CACTGACAGCATTGTACTTCAGGATAGATCCTGAAACATCCTTTGCAATGATGAATGCCACAGCATTTCTCTTCAAATTGTCATTCCCAGCATAGTAGATCATATGATTGTCTGATTCAAAATGGCCAAAACTGGTCCATTTTAGCTCACTAATGCCTAGGATATCAATCTTTATGCATTCCATTTAATTTTTGACAACTTACAATTTTCCCAGATTCACACTTCATACATTCCATGTACGAAGTCCCTCAGAGACAAAATATGATCTTGAATATATCCCTCTAAAGAGTAGATTTGATGCATTGAACACCAATGACCAAAAACTGGAAGAATTGTGGGATGACATCAAGAATATCATCCATGAAGAAAGCAAGAGATCATTAAAAGGATGAGAAAGGAATAAAAGGGCAAAATGGATGTCAGAAGAGACTCTGAAACTTGCCCTTGAATGGAAACTAAAGTAAATGGAAGAAATGACAAGATAAAAGAGCTGAACAGAAGATATCAAAGAGCAGCTCGAGCAGACAAAGCCAATTACTATAATGAAATGTGCAAAGACCTAGAGTTAGAAAACCAAAAGGGAAAAACACGCTTGGCAATTCTCAAGCTGAAAGAACTGAGGAAAAAAATTAAGCCTCGAGTTGTAATATTGAAAGATTTATTGGCAATTGAATGATGCAGAAAGCATCAAAAGATGACAAAAGGAATACACAGAATCACTGTACCAAAAAGAACCGGTCAATCTTCATCCATTTCAGGAGCTGGCATATGTTCAAGAATCAATGGTATTGAAGGAAGAAGTTGAAGCTGGACTGAAGGAATTGGCAAAGAACAAGGTTCCAGGAATTGATGGAATACCCACTGAGAAGTTTCAACAAATGGATGCCCTGCTGGAGGCACTCACTTGTCTATCTATGCCAAGAGATTTGGAAGACAGACACCTGGCCAACTGACCGGAAGAAATCCATATTTTTACCCATTCCTAAAAAAAGGTGATCCCACAGAATGTGGAAATTATCAAACAATGTAATTAATATCACATGCAAGTAAAATCTTACTGAAGATAATTCAAAACTTGTCGCAGCCATATATTGACAGAGAATTTCCAGAAGTGCAAGCTGGTTTCAGGAGAGGACATGGAATGAGGGATATCATAGCTGATGTCAGATGGATCTTGGCTCAAAGCAAAGAATAACAGAAAGATGTTTACTTGTGTTTTATTGACTATGCAAAAGGATTTTCTTGTGTGGATTATAACAAATTGTGGATAACATCGAGAAGGATGGGAATTCCAGAACACTTAATTGTACTCGTGAGAAATCTGTACATAAACCAGGAAGCTGTGGTTTGAACAGAACAAGGGGACACTGCATGGTTTAAAATCAAGAAGGGAGTGTATCAGGATTGTATCCTTTCACCATATTTACTCAATCTGTATGCTGAGAAAATAATCTGAGAAGCTGGATTATATGATGAAGAAAGTGGCATCAGGATTGGAGGAAGAATTATTTACAACCTACAATGCACTGATGACACAACTTTGCTTGCTGAAAGTGAGGATAACTTGAAGCACTTACTGACGAAGATAGAAGAATACAGTCTGTAGTATGGATTACATCTCAATATAATGAAAATAACTTGTCTCACAACTTGTCCTATAAGCAGCATCATGAAAAATGGAGAAAAGATTGAAGTTGTCAAGGACCTCACACTGCTTGGTTCTACAACTGCCACCAATGGAAGTAGCAGTCAGGACATCAGAAGACATACAGCACTGGGCAAACTGGCTGCAAAGGACCTCTTTCACGTGCTGAAGGGCAAAGATGTCTCCTTGAGGACTAAGGTGTGCCTGACACAGGCCAGGGCATTTTCAATCACCTCATATGCATGCGAGAGCTGGGCAATGAATAAGGAAGACCGAGGAAGAATTGATGCTTTTGAATTGTGGTGCTGGTGAAGAATGCTGAAAGTACCATGAACTGCTAAAACAACTAACAGGTCTGTCCTGGAGTCTCTTGGAAGCGAGAATGGCCAGACTTTGTCTCACCTACTTTGGTCATGTTGTCAGAAGGGACCATTCCCTGGAGAACGATGTCACGCTTAGTAAGGTAGAGGGTCGACGAAAGAGGGGAAGGCCCTCAATGAGATGGATTGACATGATGGCTGCAGTAAGGGGCTCAAGTATAGCAGGGATCATGGAGCTGGCATGGGACCAGGCGATATTTCGTTCTGCTGTGTGTGGTTTCTCTATGAGTTGGAGATGATTTGACAGCACCTGACAACAAGTTAGCCAGTGCTGTTGTAACAGAAATACCACACATAGATGGCTTTAACAAACGGACATTTATTTTCTCACAGTTGAGGAGGCTAGAAGTCCAAATTCAGGGCCCCCGCTTCCGGGAAGGCTCTCTCTGCTTCCTGGTCCCTTGGAAAGCTCCATGTCTTGGCATCTATCTTACCCTACATTTCTCCTGCACACTTGTTTGATCTCTTTTATATCTCAAGATTGACTCAAGACACACCCTACATGAGTCCTGCCTCATTAACATAACACATACAACCATTCCCAAATGGGATTGTGACCATAAGCTTAGAGGTTAGGATTTAAAATATATATATTTTTAGGGACTCAATTCAATCCGTAAGTCCACCTTTCCATCTTTCCTTCTTTAGATACCTCTGGAAGGAAGTGACAGCATAAAAACAGCAAGTGTGAGAAGGCGTTGTCGTACAGGGAGATCTGAAACTGGATTCATTTCCCTTCTATCTCTAGTTGACTGGGAGGCATGTAGGGGAGTGGAAGCCAAGCCTGGGTAGACTGAGAGTCAGGAAATCAGGGCATTCCTACGTCTACAACAGAAAAACAAAGTGTGTGTTTCTTTTTAATCTTCTGAGAACATGGCACTATCTACATAGTTACTTTGGGATTCCGCAAAAATTATCTCATTACGAGTAACTGTCGTCATTGCTAGGTACAAAGCACCCCATTGTCTGAGGACTTTTCAAATATATGTAGCTTTGCCAAGACACACGCTAATCATAGTTCATCTATGTGTCTATGTGTATCGCTCTCTGTCACCTATCTATCTCTATTCCTATATGTGGAATTTCTGGGTGGTGTAAACAGTTAACACACTAGGCTGCCAACTATAAGGTGGGAGGTTCAAGTCCACCCAGAGGTGCTTTGGAAGAAAATCATAGTGATCAGCTTCCACAAAAGGCAGCTGTTGAAAACCTTCCGGAGCACAGTGCAACTCTGACACACATGGGGACACTGCGAGTCAGGGTCACTCTATGGCAATGGGTGGTTACCTACCCCTCTTCCTGTATCTATACCATGTTGTTTCTCTTTCAAATAAAAGCCCAACTGGTATCAGAAACTACATTGGGCATGGTACATATATCACTGCTAATCCTTCAGGCAGGAATTATTCCCACTTTACAGTTGAGGTTCAGGGAAGTTATATAACCTGCTCAAGGCACTGTGGTAATGAGTACTGGGAAATGAAGCCAGATGTTCTCACTCCAAGCCCTCTGGGCTCTGTGCTGGGTGGCAGGTCTTCTCCCTTCTCCCATTAGACAGTATTTGGGTGCAGGACAGCGGGTGGGAGGCTGGGCCTGTTATCTCCTAACAAAGCTGCTAGCCGCCACTCCAGCGCTGCCTTTCAAAGGCACCAGTGGGCTGTGGCCACTCTAACTAACAATGCCACGGACTCTGGTGTCCCTTTCCATCACATCACGGATGCAAGGGCAGCCCTGACAGGTCAACTGAGCATCACGGTTTGGAGGGAAACCCGCCTGGATCTAGTGATGATGACTTCTAGCTTAGCTGTTTCAATGAGTTACAGTGAATTACCCACAAAAGCCAACTTTCTTAGCCCGTCATGCGAATCCCAGTGCATCCTGAAAGACATTTCCAGAAACTAGCTTTTAGCTACCTGGTTGCCAGATTTCCTGGGCTGAACCGGTAACAAGGAAATTGAACACTGAGCTAGTTTTCTAGTCTGGTGTTTGCATATGGAAATCGAGCTTTCTACCACCACCAGTCACAAGCATCTCGAGGATCAAGCTGGTTTGTGAGGACCACGTTTGAGTTCTCCAGTTTTATGCAGAAGTTGCCCTTGGCTGCAGAAATGAGATGCTTTAGGCTCTGCATTTTTGCGCAGCCGCAGTGTTTGTCAGGGGTGTGCGGCCAGTGTTCCATCTTCAGGATGCTTTCTGGTGAATTTCAATGGCCTGAGGGCAATGCTTGGCACCCAGAAGGCCTCGTCTGAGGCTCACTGCCTTCCGGCCATTGGCCCCGAGCACCTCCCCTCTTTTTCTCTCCTTTGAATGAGAAAGTGCCTGTCTCTTGTCTATTTTATTATTTTTTTGATCTCAATAAAATTCTCAAATACTGCCATTAGGTTCACTGTGTGGTGCTATAAAAACCCACCAAACTCGTGGGAGCAGCAATGAGGGGGAAGAACTGCCAAGAAAAAAAAAAATGGATTTGTTTCAAGGGGTAATCAATTAAGATGTGAATCAGCCATTTTCAAAAATGATGAAAGGCCCCACACAAACTGCTGGTCACGTTTTGTCAATAGTGCTCCATTCTACATCATCATACAAAGGGACCATGTTTGGCCACGTTCACATGGTGACATTTCATACATAACGATGCACCGTTGACCTACGAGGGACTCCCATCCACTGACTCAAACACAAACGGGAAACTCCCTGTGAGCCCAGGTCCCCAGTGGGCTAGAGCCACTGATCACACCTCCATCTGAGCTTCATATCAGGATTGCAGAAATGCCCTAGTGTAACTAGACTATGGATCGCACAGCCTTATGGAATGTCAGAGCATATCATCCCGCACAGCTGCAAGGGGCCCACCACTCAACTGGTGTCTTTTCCATGACAAACTCCTATTAAGCAGTCAGCATCAACTCTCCCCTCGCAACCTCTGACATCATCCACAGGGCAGGCAGACACAGAATGGCAATTGCCGGAGTGTGTATGAAAATGATAGTTTATTGTCTATACAAGGGCAGGTTTAACTCGGACGCCTGCTTCTGTCCGAGCTGCATAAAGAAGCATTTCTCCTCGTGGAACAAATAAGCACAGAACACTATTGTAATCTCAGAAACAGGCACCGTTTATGTTCTGGAAGCCTTGCTCTCAATAGGGCGAGCAGTCCAATGGCCCAGAAGCCGCTGTCTTAGCAGCTGTGGCAAAGAAAGCTGTGGGAGTCACAAATAGCGAGATGGCCCAGGCAGCAGGGACCGAGAAGCAGGCCTCCCTCGGACGCCTTCCTCCGAGGCAGCGCTCTCCCCCGCTAGTTCAGCAAGCACGACTCGTAGGTGGGGACCATGTACTTGATGTTGATGAAGGCGTCCTCCCCTCCGTAGCGCTCGAAGATCTCTAATGTCTCCTGGATCAGGTCCCCGATGTTCTCCCTCTTCTGCTGGCTGTAGTCGATGCCATCCCCGGAGTTCACTGGTTCAGGCAAACACACAAAGAGCCCAGTTATTCCTTGCCATTCCCCCAAAAGTTCTACATATTAGGCTAGGCATTCTCTCAGAATGCTGGGTGGGAGATACAGATGCCTAACGGTTTGATGAGATCATGACAGTTTTAGGAGTGGTAACAAATATACAAACACTCAAAGTCCTGGGTTGGAGCTAATGACCACAAACCTAAAATCAGAAATGCCAGCGGATATGACAGTGAGCAGACCATAGTTACCTCTAGATGACTGGGAAGGGGCTCTGTGCCACCTCTGGAGACTGTCCAAAGGGGGCTCTTTAGACCTTGACCTCTTGAAAGTCACAACATGGCATATTCACAAGGAATGGCCTATGGTCTGATGAGGCCATTGGCCCTCTGTGATTGAAAATGGGTACATTTGATTTAGCTCACACCTGTGTCTGCTGCGTTTGTAGCTGTGTGGATGGGGTGGGCTCCTTCTCCTGTAAGGATTAGGAGTTCAAGTGTTCAATTGTCTGTAATTATTTCAAACCCTCCGGATGCAGGTGGACTGGAGGAAATGGTGTTTCCTGCTCAGGTGCTCCTGATTGACCACTGACTGTGTGGATGTCTGTGATTACCTAAGCCTTCCTAGGAGGCTATGTCACCGCTCATTTGGGACTCTGGTGTCTAAGTTCAGAGAGGTGGGTCAGGCCCAGGGGAAACCCAGGAGCTTATAAGGGGACCAGGGCTGGTCCCAGTCAAGGCCACACAGAGCCTGGGAGGGACCACCATGCTGCTGATCAGACTACATGTGGGATGGAGCCCCTCGGGGTGATCTTCAGAGGCCTTGGGAGCCTGTGTCTGAGGTTCTCTATAACACACAACTCTATGGATTGAACTGTGTCCCCCAAATGTGTGTGGGAATCCTCGCCCCTATACCTGTGGGTCTGATCGAATGCAATGCGATGTAGTCACTTCTATGTGCAATCTAAGGCAATGTAGCCAATCAGCTGAGGTCCTGCCAGTGCAGGGTGGGTCCTACACCTGATCATATCTGAGCTACAGAAAACAGTAGACACTGAGACCCCCCAGGCAGACACAGAAGGCAGACAGATGCCATCCGACAAAGGAGGCAGATAATCCACACGCACGGGACACGCAGGGATTGCTGGCTACCAGAGGCTGAAACAGAGAAGCAACCCCAAGAGCCACAGTCTGAATTCAGACTTCTTGCCTCCTGAACCGTGACTAAAGCCACCCACTGTGGTATTTCTGTTATGGCAGCCTTGGGGGACTCAACCACACAGCAAACGCAGCCTCAAGCACTTGGAGAAGGAAGGCCTGACTGCCCCCAGCCTGCGAGGGACCTGGAAGTCACCCGGGTGAGTGGCAGTCTGGGAAAGCGGGAGCTCCACTGCTTCACTGCAGAGTGCAGCTTCTCACATTTTGTTTCTACTTAGAGCCCTGACTATGAGCGTTTTCATGTTGCATTTTCCTCACTGACTTCCAAGGGCTTCAACAACAACCATTCCTCTGCCACACCAGCCATTATGCCTCTGTGCAGTGGCTAAATGCCACCGCCATCTTATCTGGGAGGAAAAGTGATGTAGGCAGGTGGGCTGAGGGAGACCAGCATGGACCGAGGACTAGGGCTCAGGTCAGGGGATGGCCACAGGGCAGGAACCATTAGTACAACAAGAAAATGTGGGTGCCACAAAGTGTTTATTTTAGTCGTAATTCAAAATAGCTCCCAAATGTTTATCATAAGTGACTACAGAAACAGTAGCAGATGTGCTGTTTAAACGTCTCTGCCCTGTTATTCCAGACATCTTCAAAAAGTCTTAGTAATGGTTCAGACCAGCTATCAATGCAATAACGACAGATTCTTTTGGTTGACTTGCCCAGAATCTTACTAGAGAAACATCACTGTCTTCTACAAAGTAGAGAAAGTAAACTTCTATCCTGATTAGTCTGAGTAGAAGGCAGGCAGAACGAGCACTAATTTTCAGAGAGAGAGAATGAGTGAGTGAGTCAGTGAGAGAGAGAAAGAGAGCGAGAGCTTTGAAGTCATACAACAGTAAAGCCATCAGTTCTTCAGAACAAACGGACTTGAAACTGTTCACAAAGCTATTGCAATTGGATGTTTCCTTCCCCCTCGTCATGGCAGCCTTCGTGCTGTGTCACAGAAAGCTGGATTTAAGTTCATTTAAAGTTCGGTTTACACAGTGGTTGATCATCCAAAATACTCAAATCCGCTACTGCTATACAACAACCAGGAGATAAGACGACTGAGCAACGGGTTCTCACCCTGATGTTTCTGAGCAAAACAACAAGGACACATTTTTTAAGAACAACAGTATGCACAATCACATATTTCAAGTAAACAGATTCTTTTCTAAAGGGTAACGTCAGTCTGTGCAGACCTGGTGCCGTCAGGAACGGCTGCACTCGGAGGATAATGTGGTGCCGTTCCGTTGATGGCAGCTCTCCTAGAGGAGACGGTCTTGGAGTTGAACTAAGGGAAAAGAAGGAGGCAGGTCAGGTATGTGGGTTGTTGTGTTTGTTACAGATGTGGAGAAAAGACGTTGAGGAACACAGTCCAAAAGTGGGACAGGACAGAAAGCAACCAAGTCAGAAGAAGGGGCGGCAGGGGGTAGACTGTGGGCAAGGGAGATGGAGTGGGGCCACGGGGGAGGAACGGTGCCAGGGAGAAGAGTGCCAGCGAGTGTTTTGGGGTGACTCTGTGCCCCTCACATCACACCCTTGGTTAACTCCTCTGGTCGTGAGACAGGAGAACGCACAGGCCAGGCCAGCCCCACGGAGCACACGTCTCAGAGCCCTGGACAATGCATCTGGTTATACGGATGCTGCACTGGGACAGCCTTGGCCCGTTCCTGTGACAAAGACACTTACAGAGCCATTGGTCAATGGTGCCTTTTGTTGCTGTATTGGCCAAAAGGTCAAGAACAGAGTAGACCATGGGACACAGTTCCCTGAGGGAGGCAGAGGGGGTTTGGAAAGGCCTCACACAAACGAAAGCTTCACACACCCAGTTTTTTCCACCGCCTTGTAGAAGGCAACCACGACAAACAGCGATCTATTTCAAAATAACCTATTCTTATTTTTTAAAAAAAATGAAGCTGTGGGAGTAAGTATATGTAGCTTTTTTGTTTCTCAACAGTGGATAACCCACGTGATAAAAGAACAGAAGTTGCTTATTCCAGAAGTGGGTTGGAGTCGGAATATTTTGTGGTTGCAGAATGTACATCATTGGGACAAAAGTTACAAAGGGGACAAAAATACCACACCCCTTACTTTGCGGCTACAATGCTGACAGGGCTCGGTATAGTGTCTGACTTGGTGGGGAGGCAGGTGAGTTGTGGCCTCCATTTCAAAACTGTTCCATTGTCAGTGTCTTTGAGAATCTGAAACTGACATGACTCGTTTGAGCTTACCATATTGAACACAAACGACTCTCTTGGAAGATCTGATTGTGAGAAAAGGAAGCTTCAAATAAAAACCAAGGGAGCTGTTTACAACGGTCAATTCTGATTAGAGAGATGACATTTTAATTTAGGAGGCTGGGAGTCTATTTTGGGCCCAGCTGCTAGGAAGACATGCTGATGATGGAAAAGATATGTCTTACTTACAACCAGAAAGATGAAGCTATGGCAAGGCTCTGAAGCAGGTTTTGAGTTCTAAAGGCGAGTGAAACAAGCAGAATCAAGAGGGATCCTACCCTCCTTCTGGGAGACGCCTGCGTTCGAGAGGCCGGCAGCGGTGGCTAAGTGTCTTTGTCACACCACCTGTTGCATTTTCTCGGATTGTGTAAAAGACGTGTGTTGAAGCGTGGTGACCCTGTGTGTGCTGGACTCGAACTCTGCTCCACAGGGTTTTCAAGGGCTTGTTGTTCGGAAGGAGATTGCCAGGGCTTTCTTCTGAGGCACCTTGGCGTGGACTCTCCCCCACAACCTTTTGGTTAGCAGCTGAGGGTGTCACTGTCACGTGATGGCAGCTGGTGCTTTTTGTTTTTGTTTTGTTTTATAATGTTTAAGCATTTTTTAAAAAGCATGTTGTTGTTGTTGTTATGTGCTGTTGAGTCGGACCCAACTCCTAGCAACCCCTCCTTGGGTTTCCAAGGCGGTATCACTGTGGAAGTAGACTGCCCGACCCTCCTTCCAAGGAGTGGCTGGTGGGTTTGAACTGCCAACCTTCTGGTTAGCAGTCAAGTGCCTTAGGCACTATGCTACCAGAGCTCCCTTTTCAAAAAAAAAAGCATACTCTTTTGTATCTTAACCTCTTTGAACTATTCTGAGACGAATGTATGTACACTCAGCTCCTTGTCCTCTGAGGCCATTCTCCTGGCACTACATTCAGCTCGGGGTGGTGAAGTGACTGTCATGAAGTCATTGCAGCTTTAGCTACTGCTGTTACAGGATTGCAAGAAAACCAAACTCACTGCCATGGAGTCAATTCGACTCATAGCGACCCCTCCTTGGGTTTCTAAGATGGTATCTCTACAGAAGTAGATTGCCCAGCCTTCCTTGCAAGGAGTGGCTGCTGGGTTTGAACTGCCAGCCTTCTGGTTTGTAGTCAAGTGCCTTAGGCAATGTGCCACCTGAGCTCCCCAGTTATAGGACAGGGCGAAGTGATTAAAGCCACAGGAAAGCCAGAAAGGAAGGAAGTGTGGACCTTCCCACATTACTGCTGGGTTTGCTCTGTAGAGACACTGCCTGCAGGTCCTGGTGCCTTTGGCCAGGGCACCAATGACAGCCACTACTATGGGGCAGGCTCTCTGCAGACAAAGTGGTCTCTAGGTGCTTCAGGGCAAGGCTACAAAAAAAGAGCCCTTTGCCTTTGGGGGCACTTTTCATCTAGATAAGGAGCGTTGGTGGTGCAACAGTTCAGTGCTTGGCTGCCACTGAAAGGTGGGCGGTTCAAACCCAACCAGCGACTCTGCAGGAGAAAAACCTGTGATTTGCTCCTATAAGGATTACAGCCAAATAAGCCCTGTGGGACAGCTACTC